CAGTCTGGGTGACAGAGTGAGACTCTAACTCAAAAAAAAAAAAAAAAAAGAACCACTAATCTAGACCTTCCATACTCAAAGTGGGAGCCTGGAACCAGCAGCATCAGCCTCACCTGGGAACTTTTTATAATGCAGAACCTCAAGCCCCACCCTTGATGAACTGAATCAAAATCTGCACTTTACCAAGATCCCAGGAAATTCATGTGCATATTCAAGTCTGAGAAGTGCTGGTCTAGACTGTATCATCTAGCATCCCAAATGTACTTTCTTCTTAGGAGTTTCACCTGCTACATTTTGTCTCTACAACTAGGTTGCTAGCTTTTTAGAGGAATGAATAAAATAAGGTGTCTAATCTATGTGCATGAGTACACATGGGAAACAGGCGTGAGCACGCACGCATTCCCTGCTCCTAACCCTCCTGCTAACATTCTTATGCACTTCTGGAAGGGTCTGTCCAAGCAGCGTCATAAACTGGCAAACAGCTCTTTTTTTTCCCTCCCTTGACCTTTCAGCAGAATGGGTAGCTCTTAACTATGTTCCTATTTTGGTTTATTTGTTTTGGCCTACACAATGTTTTAGAACTTGAGACATGCTGGACTTCCTGCTTTTCTTGAAAAAATAAACTATTTGAGAAAAAATTGAACTATTTAACAATGCTTGATCCATATCCCACTCTACGGCCATCAGCAGTTCCCTTTAGAATGGCATGTATTTTTGGGCTTGTCACTGTCCCCACCACTCCCTGCTATCTCATACCTGCCTGCATCACTCATTTCTGTTATCTTTCTGGTCCCTGTAGGCATTTGAGTTTGAAACCCTTGACTTAAACACCGCTGGGTGCTTTCTGCCTCCTTGGGATCAATGAAGTTTCCTCCAGGGCCCTGAAACCAGCTCCTACATTAGGTAACTTTTTGATGATCCCCTGTGGCGCCACTGAATAGGCTTATTGCCATTTGCAAGAAGAGAGGACAGGATCAGGGGTCCCCAGACTGCCCTTCCAAGCTGTTTTTTGTTTTTTGCAGTCAGCAGAAGCATGCAGGGCAATGTCCCAATCAGGTGTTAGCAAATTCCTTCGAGTGGCTGAGCTAAAGCCACTAGAGAGATCAGAGCTTTCGGAAAACCTGAGGTGGCTGTGATATTAATATTCTTTTAGAACAAAGTGGCAGAGCATTTGTTGTTTGGAATGAGCACCAGAAGAAATCTCTGACCTAAAATAAATTGTTGAGATCTGATGGGTAAGTGGACAAGTTATTTTCTTTTCTTTTCTTTCTTTCTTTTTTTTTTTTTTTTTTTGAGTTGGAGTCTCACTCTGTCACCCAGACTGGAGTGCAATGGCCGCTCCCGGCCACTGCAGCCTCGACCTGCTGGGTTCCGGCGATCCTTCCGCCTTAGAACTTCCAGTAGCTGGAACTACAGGCACATGCTACCACGCCCGGCTAATTTTTGATTTATTGTAGAGATGAGGTCTCGTCAAGTTGCCCAGGTGGGTCTCGAACCCGCGGAACAAGTTATTTTCAAACAGACAAACGAGAGAAGGAAATGACAGGTTATAGGAGGTATATGAAAAAATAGAACTTTCTGAAACATACGAAGTGGAAGGAGATGATCACATTGCAGAATTCTTTCTTTTACAAAACAATCCATGGCAAAATGTCCTTATTCAGTGAACATGTGATACATTTTATTCATAATAGGTGTGAAGTCAGACAGGCCTGCACAGAAGCATGACACATTTTTCAAGTCCAGAACAGATAATTATCTGTACTAGTTTCTTGTGACTGCTATAAGAAATTGCTGCAAATTTGGTGGCTTAAAACAACAGAAATCTATTCTCTTATAGCTCCAGGAGCCAGACTTTCATAATCAAGATGCCAGCAGGGCCCCATCCCTCAAAATTCCAGGGGAGGATACTTTCTTGCCTCTTGTAGGTTCTGATGGCTCCAGGCATCCCTTAACTTGTGGCTGCGTCACTTCAGTCTCTGTCTCCATCTTCACATGGTCTTCTCCACCTTGTATCTATGTCTTAAATCTCCCTCTCCTTTATAAGGATACTGGTCATTGGGCTTAGGACCTACCCTAAATCCAGAATGATCTCATTTTGATATCCTTCGCTTAACTACATCTGCAAAGATTCTATTTCCAAGTAAGGTCATATTCACAAGTACTGGGGGTTAGGTACTTGAATATATCTTCTTTAGGGACCACTGCTCAACCCATTATGGGGTGCTAAAAAGATTCCTGTTCAGGGCCCAATGTGTGTGGCCCATTGATCAGCTGCTTCAGAATTATCTGGTACATTTTCTGGAAATACAGATTCTTTTTTTTTTTTTTTTGACTCAGAGTCTCACTCACGGCCACCCCAGCAACGACCAGCTGGGCTCCGGCGATCCTTCCGCCTCAACCTTCCAAGTAGCCAGAACTACAGGTGCACACTGCCACGCCCAGCTAATTTTTTGTTTAATTGTAGAGATGATGCCTTGCAAAGTTACCCAGGCTGTTCTTAAACCCGTGGGCTCAGGCGATCCCCTCACCTCGGCTTCCCAAAGTGCTGGGATTACAGGCTGAGCCATTGTTTCCAGCTGAAATACAGATTCTTAGAAACACCTTGTGCCTTCTGAAACTACTCCTTGGGGGTAGGCGCAGAAGTCTGCCTTCTGAACACACTCCCTTCAAGCGATCCCCCGAGTGGTACAGTGGTTTAAGAACCACTGTAACGAGACTCTGAAAGCAGGAATTCAAGTCCTTACTGTACAATGTTAACCTTCTCAGGCAAACCAGTTTGCATAGGGAGATAGTGCCAGTGCATTCCAGTGTGGATGCATGCTTACTTAAGTGTCAAAAAACAAATCAGCAGGAACAATGGCTCATGCCTGTAATCTCAGCACTTTGGGAGGCTGAGGCAAGAGGATTGCCTGAGCCCAGGGGTTTGAGACCGGCCTGGCCAACTTGGCGAGACCTTGTCTCTACAATAAATCCAAAAATTAGCCAGGTGTAGTGGTGCATGCCTGTAGTTCCAGCTACTTGGAAGGCTGAGGCAGAAGGATCGCCTGAGCCCGGGAGGTTGAGGCTGCAGTGGCCGTGAGTGTGCCACCGCACTCCAGACTGGGCGACAGAGACTCTGACTCAAAAAACAAAACAAAACAAATCACTCAGTACGACCACAGAAGAAAAAATTTTCTTGGAATAATCAGATGCAAAAAAATAGAATCCCCTCCAGTCAGAAATGGCACTGAAGTGCCTGAGAATATCTAATTGATCTTAATGTTAGATTTTGAGAGATTAAAAAAAAAAGTTTCAGATGCTCCATACTATATTTTGTCAGAGCCGTCTGTCATGTTTTATTCTCTTCCCACACCTGTAAATAGATGGTGAATTAGTAACTCAAATACACACACACACACACCCTTATCTAAAAACAACTACTGAAAGGTGGTGAGAGGGATAGATTAAAAAGTTTCATGAAGCATGTAGTTTAAGCCTTCTTAATTATTCATGAAAAACAAAACATATCAATTGTCCTGACTGGCACTGGTGAAAACTGCATAATAATTTTGTGGCTGGGTCTTAATTTATAAAGGAGACTGAGTAAAGACACAGAGAGGTCAACGCTGCTGAAAGAATATATTATGTGTACTCCCAAGAGATAGGGTCACACCACCTTTGATCATGCCAGGCAGGGCCACAAGGGGAAGTACTGACTTCGTCAGAAGGCAGAATCAAGGGGAAAGAATGGTCCAGAAATTGTATTGGATGGAAAGGCAAGACTGAAGAAACAGCTTAGGGTTAACTAGTTTGAATAATGCCAGTAGAGCCTAGGAATGGAGGTGGTCTCTAGTTGTCTGGTCTTGGGCCCTACATGGTTCTAAGGAAAAATACTGGCTTGGTGTGTGAGAGTTAGATAAAGGAGGTGGTTGGGGGTGTGAACTCGGGATTGGTTGAAGAATTTGTAATGTGATTTTTCACACACTTACAAACACTGGATTGTCTGGGAGGTGTAACAGCTTCGGCCTTTAGTTTGGCCCTGTGCCAAAAAGATGAATATGGCATTTAAGAAAATATAGTTTACTGAGGTACACCTGTCCCCACTCCAGTAATTAGTGTCTAAGATTCACCACTTTGTTCTAGAAGCCAAACCTATTTTTCCCATTTTCTCCCCCTTAAAAAATAATCAGATTGCTTGAAGATTTTATTTTATTTTTTGGACAGAATTTCACTCTGTCACCCAGGATGGAGTGCAGTGACACAATCACAGCTCCCCACAGCCTCAAACCCCTGGGCTCAAGTTACCCTCCTCTTCAACCTCCCAAATAGCAGGGACTAGAGGCACACACTACTATACCTGGTTAATTTTTCTATTTCTTGTAGAATCAGGGTTTCATTATGTTACCCAGGCTCGTCTCAAATTCCTGGCCTTAAGCGATCCTCCCACCTCATCTTCCCAAAGTGCTAGGATTACAGATGTGAACCACCATACCCAGCTTGAAGTTACTTTTTTTACATTTTTTTTTGAGTTGGAGCCTCACTATGTCACCCAGGCTGGAGTGCAGTGGCACACGCACAGCCACCCCAGCATTGACCTGCTGGGCTTAGGCAATCCTTCCGCCTCAACCTTCCAAGTAGCTGGAACTATAGGCACACACCACCTGGCTAATTTTTGATTTATTGTAAAGATGAGATCTCACCAAGTTGCCTGGGCTGGTTTCAAACCCATGGGCTCAGGCAATCCACTAGCTTTGGCTTCCCAAAGTGCTGGGATTATAAACTGAACCACTGAGCCAACCTAGATTTTTTTCTGTTTTTGTTGTTGTTAAGCCTGTATTGGTTTTTAAATGTTCATTTTAGGGCAACCCCCTCGGGCCCCCTCCCGAGAAGCTTGTCTGTCCTCTCAGTAAACCCTGCTAAAAAAAAGCCAAACAAACTTCATTTAACCTTAAATGGCAAGTTGATTTCTCATCATTCTGTGATGAGGCAAGGCAGGTGGTTGGGGGGGGGGCTCTTTGGCTCCAGGTGGTCAGAGAGAGCAATCCGGGGGTTTGAATTTTGTTCTTACTTCTGCCACCCCTTGCAGAGCTGGAAGGCAGTTCAGAAGAACTAGTGTGACTGCCATTTTGGTGTTTACCAGCCCTTTCAAAGAGACCTGTGTAAATATGAATTCTTTTCCTCCCACAGGTATGCCAAGTACTATAAGGAAAGCAATGTTGAAAGACGAACTCTGATAAAAGTCTTCGGGATCCGCTTTGACATCCTGGTTTTCGGCACCGTAAGTCTCTCCAGCTCCTGGCACCTCCGTCCTATGATTGTGGCCTAATTTCTGTTGCAGTGCCTCCAAGGAAGGGATGTTTTTAGTCATAGTCATTAGTGAGCACTGTGTATTTCGCATGTGGGATTAAAGGGGAGAAAGAAATGTCCTTAGGGTCCTGTCCACGAACAAGTCATCTGATGAGTACAAGAGTGGGAATGGAAACAAATTCTTACATTCAACTTTTAAAATACTCTGATGCTTTAAAAGAGAGAGCATCAACAAGGGTGCCTGAACGAAGCATATTTGTATACCTAACCCTTAACTATACCCCACAATATCATAATAAAAAATATTGATTAATAAATAAAAGAGAGAGAGTCAGGTGCGATGGCTCATGCCTATAATCCCAGCACTTTGGGAAGCAGAGGCTAGAGGATTGCTTGAGTCCAGGGATTCGAGACGAGCCTGGGCAACTTGGCGAGACCTCATCTCTACAGTAAATCAAAAATTAGCCGGGCTGATAGCCGGGCTGATAGCTGAGGCAGAAGGATCACCTGAGCCCAGTGGGCTGAGACTGCAGTGGGTGTGAGCATGCCACTGCACTCCAGCCCGGGTGACAGAGTGAGACTATGACTAAAACAAACAAACAATAAAACAGGCACATTCTGGATGGCAGAAACAGGTTGAACGAGAGTCACAATTTCAGTCCCACAGTCCTTGCCCTAGTGAGCACTTGAATGCATCTATCAAAGTCACGGCACTGAGCTCACTCTCTGCTAGCACCAATAATTACAGTTAAACAGCATTATTCTGAATTTCAACCATGTAAATGTTCCCACTCTTTTTAGGGAGGAAAATTTGACATTATCCAGCTGGTCGTGTACATCGGCTCAACTCTCTCCTACTTTGGTTTGGTAAGAGATTCTCTTTCCCACACTTTCTGAAAATGATTTGGCAAAAAGAAATTTCGTTAACGTGGTGCTTGTCTGAGTTTTCCCCAGGCCACTGTGTTCATTGACTTTCTCATCAACACTTACTCCAGCAACTGCTGTCGATCCCATGTTTATCCCTATTGCAAGTGCTGTGAACCCTGTGTGGTCAACGAATACTACTACCAGAAGAAGTGTGAGTCCATTGTGGAACCAAAGCCGGTAAGGCACACCATGATCACAGAACACCAAAGCACCCATAGGTTCCATTAGATTACTGAGAAATACGTAAAGTTAGGCCAGAATCACAGGTTTAATCCTGTATGGAGAAGTTTCAGGACTCTACCCCAATCAACAGTCTCTCAAATGAATTATTTGGTCTTTGAGAAGAATGGAAACAAAAAAAGGCAAGATATAGGTCAAACAGACAGGGCGCGGTACCTCACACCTATAATCCCAGCACTTTGGGAGGCCGAGGTGAGATTGCCTGAATCCACGGGTTCAAGACCAGCCTAGGCAACTTGGGGAGACCTCACCTCTACAATAAATCAAAAAATGAACCAGGCATGGTTGCAGGTTCCTATAGTTCCAGCTACTTGGAAGGCAGAGGTGGAAGGATCACCTGAGCCCAGCAGGTGGAGGCTGTGATGGCCGTGAGCATGCCTTTGCACTCCAGACTAGGTGACAGAGTGAGACTCCGACTCAAAATAAATAAATAAATAAATTAATTAATTAAAAATAAAAAATAAATAGGGAAAACAAATCTTTATGTTCCAGGATTTGTCGATTTTGTCATTTATTAAATTGGTACAGCCAAAAAACATAGAATAATAACTTTGGAGAACAATTTGGTGGTGACTAATACCATTTAAATGGGACATACTTAGGTGCCTCGTTAGCGCAGTAGGTAGCGCGTCAGTCTCAAATGGGACATACTTTACAGCCTGGCATTTTCACTTCTCCGTACCTGCCCTAGGGAAGCACTTACATGTACCACCCAAGCAGTACATATGTGCAAGATGTTCAATGCAGCACTGTTTATTAAATTAGCAATAATTCATATTAATAATTGATAATTATTATTAACAGAGAAGAAATAGCATCTACCCAAATGTCCAATAAGTGAACGGTGACAGAAACTATGGCAAATCCATTGTAAGGAATACTAGGCACCTGTTTAAAAGAATGAGGTAGCCAGGTGATCACCTGAGCCCAGCAGATCGAGGCTGCGGTGGTGGTGAGCATGCTGCTGCACTCCAGCCTGGGTGACAGAGTGAGACCCTGACTAAAAAAAAAAAAAAAAAAATGAGGTAGATAATAATAAGAGCAAACATTCATATAGCACTTCTAAACATTCATATAGCACTTTATTAACTCACTGAACTTCTTAACAGCCCTATAGATAGGAAGTACTGTTATCTCTTTCTATAGATGAGGAAATTGAGGCTCAGGAAGGTTAAATAATTTGCCCAAAGTCATACAGCTAATAAGTGACAAAGTTGAAATTCCAACTTAGGACAGGCTGGTTTTAGAAGCCATGTTCATAACCACTAAGTTATAGAGACCGGCATGAGCAAATATCCAAGACTTTTTTTTTTTTTTTTTTTTG